AACGAGCGAGGCATCCACCCCCCAGCGTTTACAGTTTTGATGCTAAGGCAGCGAAAACGAGATTCGAAGAGCGAAATCGTGCCCGGTTTTTGCGCTCCCGGGTGAATCGGCGTTCACGTCGGCATCGGAGAAATATCGCGGTGAATTTTCAGCGGTCGGACCAAATCAGCCGGCGGAACGATAACGCGCGCCTCCCCACGTGTACATAAAACGGTGCAACGTACGAGCGCGCGTGATTTTCCAAGTAACGCCCCCGCTGTTCACGCGAAATCGTAAATTTCCGGGGCGGAGGCTCGGGAAATTATGCCGCGATTTCTTTCACAAACGTGTGGCAAACGAGATTAGAGAATTCGGCGTTTCTCGATCGGTTGCTGAGAAACAAACAATCGTCCCTGAAGAGGGGGATGAAATCGACGTGCACCGTTCGTGCGAGGTTAGGTTTATTGGAAACTATCGATTCTGTACGTGGCCAAATGATTTTGGAGAAAGTATTGACAATTTCTCCAGCTGGCTCTCTAATCTTTACTTCTCCGATCCTCGTGGGATTTGCAGGATTCTTCGCTTGTTTGCTTGTCGATAGTTTTCTCACGAATGATTTCACTGTCGATAATTTGCTACTTGTTGAACGCGGTTTATTCGTTCTGTTAATTTCGATGAATCACGCTGAATCGTTGCGTGTCATGTGTCTCTCGAAGAATGAATTTTTCAAATTGCAATTAATGAAATTTGGTTTAGTGGAAAAAATAGGAAACGAAATAAGTTAAAAATAAGTGGCGACATCCCTGAGTTTGTTCCTAAAGGTCAGCAATCGTTGACCACCAACAGCAACTTCAAATTTCCTCCCTTTTAATCGATTAAATTCGATTTTCTTGCATGCATCGCGTTAGCGCTCTTCTTCCTTCTAAAATATGTATTTCCTTCGCGATTCTACGTTGAAAAATTATGCAGACTTGGAGAGTTAATACTATTTTGTCATTAATAGGGAATATATTAATATAAAATACATTTGACGACGTCTCGCAAAGGCAGAGAACTTCAGATCGAGAAATTCTGTTTACTTTTGAAAAGCGCAGTCGTGTAAACACGTCACTTGCGTTGCGTTTACGAGTATCGTCGCGCGAAAGTCTGGAAATCATTCGTTAATGTTAATTACATGATGTTGAAAATATGTTTGCACGGTGCTGCTAATTATCTTGTTCCCTTCGATTTTCCCTTACAAAAATATTATACGAAAATAATATACACTGTGTATACGGTGAGCGACAAAAGTATTCGTGCTATACAGATAGAAGATTGTTACGAACAAAGATAGTAACTTTTGTATTATCAAAGTAATTAAAATAATTCTACATACTCGTACTTGCAGTTGAATGTCGTTCTCCTCTGTACATTTATTACCATGTCTGCGATATTTAATTATTTATTTAATATCGCTGTATCATTTGTTTAATTATTCATTCAATAATTAATCCAACTCTGTCGTCTTCCATTATATTCATATTTAATATCAAAATATCGACTCTATGCATTTTTAACGGGTGACCATAACGTCGAGCATCAAACGGCGCGATAAATCATTTAGTCACGATGCGGCGGCACGCCTTTCGGTTCATTGTTATCGGATCAATTCCGATGCATTATTTCGCGTGTTGAGTCTACGTAACTAGTTTACAAGCGGCCGCATGGATAACAGGCGGCTCAAACGTCCAGCACCGGCTTCCGCATTAAAATTTCAAATTTCAATCGCAAACTCGAGCTGCGGGGCGAATCGCCTGAATTCGTCTTGCTCACGCCACACGGCGCAAATTACCGGCACGCGTTCAGGCGAAATTCAGGAATCACCGCGACCGAGTGTGAGAGAACTCGCCGATTATTTTTCATCCACGAATTTTTCTTCCGAGTACTCGTTCGTCGTTCACTGCCAGACGCTCGTAATGTTTCTTTTATGGTAGGACACGATTCAATAGAATTCCCGTTGAAATTGAAATAGTTTTTGTTTCGTTCGCAGACGGGGACTTATTAAAAAAAATTTCATAGAAATTACTTGAAGAGTTTTAATCTCGCCTCACGGTGCGGATGAACTTCGTTAAAAAAAAAAAAAAAAAAAGAAAGATGCAATTTTCTAGGAAAACATTTGCAATCAAACGTTAGAGAGGAAAGAAGGGGAAAAAAATATCTACGTGATTGTAAAAGTACAACAAAACGTTGCGAGTGAATTCTCTGTAATTAAAAGTCCGCGTAATTGAGACGAGGAAAAAATACAAGTCGATTTCTCTCGATTATCTGATCCCGTGCCACGTCGAGAATTTTTTTGTACCAAAAAATTATAATATTTTCTCAGTTTCAAGTATACTTAACTGAAACAAAACTAGGCAAAACAAGTAACAAATTTATTACGTCTGAATAAAATTTCTATCCAGTGATATCGCACCGACCAGTTCAAAAAGAAAACGACGAACTGTATGAATGGTTTGGTCACTCGTTATGGTCCGCAATCGGTTGCCAGCGCGCCAAAGTGGTTGAAAACAAAAACAAAAACGAAAAAAAAAAAAAGAAGAAGAAAAAAAAACGGAAGGGAAATAAAATTTTCTCGCAACTACGTGTCACTTTCCCGCCAGGTTGTCTTAGAAGAACGATCACAAGAGACTATCTGCGGTTTTTTATTTCGTTAGGAAAAGCTCAGTCTGCTTCTTTATCGGTTGATCCGCGGTGCAGTCTTAAATTTTGCAAGTGTACGGCTCGCGCGTACACCGGTTGCCTCCTCGCGCTTTCTTCAATTTCCTCCGGGCCGTGAAATTGAAATTGAAATCTGAAATTTAAATGCACCCGCGCCCCCTCACCACCTCGCCGGAAGAACCGGACGATGATATTCGACGAGTGTCGAGGAAGGTCGGAGGAAATAAAAGGGAAACGGTCCGAGGAGTCGCTCCAATAAGCAACAGATAATTGCTCGAGCAAAGACGTCCCGATTTCCGTTATTGCAGCGCACCCTCCATTGTGCCATCCCCTTTTTGCTCTTCCTTATCTTCTTTTGTTGCTTTACAGTATCGACGATAATGGAATTGTCACGTTGCGTTCTCGAGTGGCTCTCTCGTTTCCAATTATTACATCTCTCTCGCAATTGTGGAAATATTTCACAATTGTCGAATGCTGCCCCATCGTGTCACTTACGCGTTCGAACGTTTTGCGACTCGCTTTTGTACTTAAATATATCGAAACATATTGAAATCTAGCATTTTAGCGAGACTCGGTTTTTGAAAGAAATCTTGAAACGCGTAGAGAAATAAAATATACAGGAAATTGGTGGGTATTACATTTATAAATTGGAGGAATATTCAAATGTACAATGTTATCTGTTATGAATGAGCGTCAATGTACAATGAGATCATGTTTTACATTTATTACGCGTTTAAGGTGATTAACATTTATGCTGTATTATACCAGTTTTCTGTATATGCTTGCGATTAATATGATATTATATTGTACATTTTCATATTGATTTCAAATTTTGCCAATACAGTCGTTATACTGTATAATTGTACAACGTGTGCCAATATCAAATGTTACAATAACTGTCCTTTAGTTAAAGAACTGAACTTACAAATTCCATACATCTCTTTTTTCAATTTTTAAAATCTTTACAATTACAATAATTAGCAATTAATCTGCTGTAGTTTCGCTCGAACTGCACTGTTCATTGAAACGAACATATAATTTAGAATTCACATAATATTTCGATGAAAACTAAGGCTGATAATAAGTGTTGATCGTTATTGAAGAACTCCTTTGCTCTCTCTCTCTCTCTCTCTCTCTCTCTCTCTCTCTCTCTCTCTCTCTCTCTCTCTCTCTCTTCTACTTTCTCCATCTCTATCAGATTTTCCCTTAATTAAGAATAAGAAAAAGTACTTTCCGTATTAAGGAAATCCTCTTAGAGCCCTGTGCCCCTCACTCACCCCTTTTCAAGCCACCCTCCATCTTATTAAATTTATTCTTATTAAATAAGTTTTACGTTTGCGCCGTGTTACACGAATTTATGGAAAGCCAGCTACGAAACATAATTAACTTGATCGCGTTCAATTTTTTTTTTTTTTTTGCCCTTTCCCCGAAGCTTCGTGTTATTTAAGAGGGCTTGCGGGGAGGGGGAGGAGGGCAGAAAGAGCGACGAGATTTATTATTGCGAAAGTGGTTGAAAGGATAATGGTAAAGCTGTTTCACCTGCGGGTGCATAAATCACACACGTTGAACATGCTAATCTCTTTTAACAAGAGCCGCGGAACATCGTCGGGTAAAACGATTTCCCCACTCCGTCGAAATTTTTAAGAAATTCGCTCGATCAACGTTTCAGCAGGGCTGATTTCACGATTTCCACGGTTTGGGAATAAATGTTGGAACTTGGAACGAAACGAAAGTGGAAATATAATAAATCAGAGTAGAATAGAAATTTAAAGTAGATCTAGAATTTAGAATTCGTCGTCTGTCGCGAGTATCTTTATTTTTGTCTTCTATTCCTATATATATTATAATATATATTATTTTCTTATTTAATATTCCTATATATTATATATATAATAGATAAATAATTTAAGTATTATTAGGTATAATACTTGTTAATAATAATAATATTAATATTATCAGGTTAAGTATTATATATATATATCATTGTTTAATCTAATAATACTTAAACTATTTACCTATTTTCGAAGCAATACTTTTGATATACTTTATGAATTATTAACTCGTTCATTTTCGATCCTTGGAGAAGGAACTTCTCTTTCTTATTCCCATCATCACCTGTTCTTTATCATTTAATCGTTGGCTCTTTAAAAGTCCACTGAAACACGTGATATATTCTCATTAACCTATTTTTATCCTCTCGGATAATTTCCAAGTATCTACAAAAATTTGATCGTCGAAGTAGCATAGAAAAAAAAAGATGAGAAAGAAAAAATTCTTAATTACGTACTTCACTCTGTAACTATCTGCCGTTGTAACTGAAGTCGCGAAACTTCCCGTAAGACGTTCTCTTCCGTCGAGAAAAATGACGGGATTGCTCTCGTCGAGTCAAAAATAGTATTCTTCCGCGAGCGTGGCCGTTGTCGACGAGCACACTGGGCAATTTGTGTTCCTCTCCTTATTACGGTTGCTCGTTGAAACGAATTCGCAGGGATTCGTTATATCAAATCCCGTCGTTGAAAAAGTTCGGCAATGCTCGGTTCCCCTCTCCCCAAGGATCCTAATTACCGTTATACTTTTACGGGCCGCATCGAGGATTTCTTTCTTGCTTGTTGCAGAGATTTCGAAGCTGGCATGAGGTGCATCCAGACGTACACGTTCGACTGCATGCAAGAGAAACAAAGGGAGCACTTCAACTCGTTGTACGCCGGCACCAACAAAGTGGTCATGGAGCTGTGTCAAGACGGCCCTTATCAGGACGGTAAGCTGAATAACTACTCCTGTTGTTGCCATTACTCCGATCCAATTAGAGAGTAGCTGTCGCGAATGATCTTGAAGGGTGAAACGAATTTACGTGGCACGTCGACGCGGAGTACAGTTAATCAGGTGTTATTATTTTATTCTAATTGCCATTATGAAAAGTACCGATTAACATCAAGCGTAGATATTAATTTTTGTACCATTTATGGTTGTGTCTCTTACGTGCCTATGGAGATTTTATGGAAGTCTCGCAGTATGTTATTTTTACAAAAATTAAAGTTTTTTTTGTATTATAAGTTATATATGACACGTTATTCATTTTATATAATAAGTTATTACATTATGAATCGAATTTAGGCGATATGCGGACATAGAGTACAGTTAATCGAGTATTATTATTCTGTTTCATATTATAAAGAGTACTAGCACACGTGCTTATTAAGATCAAGAATAAATATTAATTTTTGTCAACCATTTATAGTTGTGTCTTTACGTGTCTATGGAGATTTTATGGAAATCTCGCAGTATGTTATTTTTACAAAAATTAAAGTTTTTTTGTATTATAAGTTATATATGACACGTTATTCATTTTATATAATAAGTTATTACATTGTGAATCGAATTTAGGCGATATGCGGACATAGAGTACAGTTAATCGAGTATTATTATTCTGTTTCATATTATAAAGAGTACTAGCACACGTGCTTATTAAGATCAAGAAGAAATATTAATTTTTGTCAACCATTTGTAGTTGTGTCTTTACGTGTCTATGGAAATTTTATGGAAATCTCGCAGTATGTTATTTTTACAAAAATTAAAGTTTTTTTTGTATTATAAGTTATATATGACACGTTATTCATTTTATATAATAAGTTATTACATTGTGAATCGAATTTAGGCGATATGCGGACATAGAGTACAGTTAATCGAGTATTATTATTCTGTTTCATATTATAAAGAGTACTAGCACACGTGCTTATTAAGATCAAGAAGAAATATTAATTTCTGTCAACCATTTGTAGTTGTGTCTTTACGTGTCTATGGAAATTTTGTGAAAATCTCGCAGTATGTTATTTTTACAATGTTTTTTGTATTATGATAAGTTATATATTTTTATATATTGTATGTTGTACATATTTCTCGCATGATAAGTTATTGCATATTTTTTGTGATGATTTAGTAATTCATACTTTACATTATAAATAGATTATACATTGTACCCAAATTACGTATATTATTGATAGATTATCATATTAAATATTCTCGATGACAATTACTTGACAATAATTTTTCAAAGGCCGAATTCAGTTTACATAACCTCCAGATACAATTTACTTAATATTTATTAGAATAATATTAATATTTATATTCATTATATTAATATTAATATTTATTTATATTAATATTTATTAGAAATACCAGTAGGACTTTTACACGAGAAGTTACAACATTTTTGTGACTGTATATTCAAAATTTACTTTCCTTCAACTTATTACTTCTCTTCTATTCAATTCTACGACATATTCCGCGCGGGAAAGTTGCAGTTTCCTACACGTTATCAATTTCTCAGGTTTTGACAAAAAGAATTTCTTTCCTTTGTCAATTCATGACACGGGACATACAGCTTATGTATGTTATGTATGTTTGGCGGAGTTTACTTTCGACTAATGGCCAACGCGCTTGTCCCGCTCTAGGATATATTACCAATCGTTTTTGAATGCCACGATCGAGCACGCCGCCGATATTCGCGTAATCTCCAGAGTGCCGAATACATTATTGAGTCTAATGGTCGATAGATTCGCAACTGGCCGCAGATATTATACATGGCTTTCCTGTGTGTCTAATGTCGCGTGTCCTAATGCATCCTCCGATAATCGCAGAAATCCGTCTTTAAGATTTTGATTCAATTTGAATAACTCGCGTGATTATGCGAGCTACGCTCTATTTTACGGAATTTCTCACGGCGTGTTCTCTTTTATCTGCTACTTTTCTCTATAACGTGAAACAGGATTTTGCAAAATGAACATAAAGATCTGTTTCAGTCGATGGAATCATTTTACACGGAGATTTAAGTTTCAATGATGGTTGATTTCTTCAACCTATCGATATTTCCAACAAATATACAGGGTGTTTCGTAACTTGTGGGACCCACTTCGGGAGCTGATTGTACGCCTAAAAATAATGAAAAAAAAGTCATAT